TATGAAAATCTCAACATATTTTCTTTTGGTCACTGTTAAATATCCTTACATAGTTTTAACCTATGTTAATAAAAATCTTTCTAATGTTTAACTATTGCATTTATAAAATAAAAAATATAAAAAATCTTTAAGTAAAACTTACTTCCATAAGTTGTACATTTTATACATAGTAAGAAAAATTACTTAAGAAGAAGTAACGTTTAAGTTTGGGGGAATTGATCAACCTTAAAATTACTTATTTTTATGCATATTTTTATGTTCAACCTTTTATGATATTATGCTTTAATGAAAGATATTTTTATGATATTAGTTGCAGGTACAAGAAATAGAGTTTAAGAGTAAAAGGGATCAAAATGGGCTAGAGTAAAGAAAATTGCAAACCAGTTGAACTAGCATTAGATGCAGAACATGGTTGGCGTCTAGGCGCGACAGCTTGGCGCCTAGGCGCCATGGTTATTTTCTAGAAGATTTATTGAATGAGACCAAATTTTGAAGAAATGTCTGTAGCAACCCTTGGTCATTTCTTAAGCTCTATTAATATGGATTAATTCCAACAGACTAGGAAGGTGAAATATATTGAGTTACATAGTGTGTGAGTGTGTTAAGTGTGTGAGAAGTTTTCTTTGTGAATCTTTGTTATTTCTGGAGTTTGTGAGTCTTGTAAGTTTTTTTAGAGTTAAAGAAGTCACAAAACTTCAAAGGAGTGCTTGGGAGAACATTCAAGTTAAGTATTTGTATCTTTGTCTTTAAGTTTTGTACTTTAGATTTGAGTTTTATAAATATGTTTTATTTTGTTATCCCCATGCGTTTTGAGTAGTTTTCACTCTTTCTCCTTGCATTATGAAGTGATCAAGTAAATGATTTTGATTTTTTTTAGAACTTCTTTTACTCCTAACAATTTTGATGATATTTTAACTGAATCTTCATTTACTTTACAAATTGGCCACTTGTATTGTAAAATTTGTTAAGGAAACTTATAGACCTGAGAGGGCTAAGATTTCTTAACTTGTAAGTACCATATTTCACCTTAGAAAGAGCAGTGGTAATCGTTCGGAGAGGGGTGCAAATAGATAGGGAGATAAGATTTGATGGGCGTAGAATTAATGTTTCTAGAGTGACAGGCTAGATTCTTTTTATCAATTTATTCTAGAGATTGGAACTAAGGGTCACTGGTAAGTCCTATAGAGTGTGCACAGTGGGTAATCTAAGAGTGAGAGACTAGAACCTACCCAACACTACTATACATGCCAACACCAATTTTAAATTAGTCAATGTTGTTTACACAATCGAAAGAAGTAAATAATAGGTATGCTCTTATTTGTCACAATACCACATTTAAACTTTTAAGCAAATTTTAAAATCCTACACTAATTATGAATTATTGGCAAGGAGAAAGTCTCTTTTTTTATATATTCTAAAAGCATTTCATTTAGTTTAACTTGCATTTAGTAGAAGTTAGTAAACTTAATTTTCATCTTAAAATATTTATTGCAGACATAAGTAAAGTTTTCTTAAAGTTAAAATTCCTAATTTTCATTTTCATTGTTTTGTGTTTATGTTTTCTCTTTGGAATCGATAATGGGGTTCTTAAAGAAAATTTTATATTACTTAAAATGTTACATATACTTGTGGTACCCCTAGTGAGAAAATTATTTCTTTAAATTTTATTATATTATATTTATTCTCACTAGCCGCTAAATATAATTTGGGTCAAGTTTTTGGCATAAAAAGCAATATAAATATCTTTGTAATTGCAGGTTGGGTCATAGTTCTATGAATTTGGTTTTCAAGGCTTCTTCTTTAGTTGTTGCTCTCGAGAAGAGAGAGGCGAGAGGAGAGGGGAGAGAGAGAGAGAGAGCAAGATTGTTCATTCTTGTAAACGTCGAGGTGATCAATGATGGTGTAATTTTTCAAAAAAATAAGATCTTCTGTAACTCTGTGGATGTAGGAAATTTGTCGAACCACGTAAAACTATGGGTTTCTGCTGGGTTCTCAGTTTTACGAATTTTCACGTTCCAATATTTGCTTAATTTGTGTAGTTTTTCAAAATAACTGGTATCATAGTCGCGGTTTCTGCTATAAGAAAGAGTGATGGGTGGAGACAAAGTGATGGCATTGTGGATTGAGATGTTTAATGACACAGATTTTGGTTACCAAAACATGCAAATAGAGGAGTACCTCGATGGGAAGGAACTTCATCTTTCGTTACTTGGGAAGCGACCGGACAAGTTGGATGAGGCGGAATGCAATCTTTTGGATCGACAGGTTTTGGGGGTTATTTGATTAACCTGTATAGATTCGTTGCCCACAATGTCATCAAGAAGAGGACTATTGCATATCTCATAGCAGCTTTATGAGATTTGTATGAAAAGCCATCAGCGAATAACAAGGTGTATTTGATGAGCAAGTTATTCAACTTAAAAATGGCGGAATGTGTGTCTGTTCCTTAACATTTGAATGATTTTAATACCATCACAAATCAAATATCTCTTGTTGAAATTGATTTTGACAATGAGATATGTGTATTGATAATGTCGGCTTCATTGTCAAATAGCTGGAAAACCATGATGATGGCAGTTAGCAGTTTTGTAGGTAAATCTAAATTGAAATATGATGATATTCTTGACTTGATTTTTGGCGGAGGAGTTGCGTATTTAAGATTATGGCTAGACCACGGGTTCGAGTTCAGCACTGAGTGTTGATTACAGAGGGAGATCACATGACAAAAACTCAAACAGAGAAAGATCAATAACAAAGCTTATTCAGCAGACAACCTGCTGGAATTGTGACAATACTAGCAACATAAAAAGGAACTGCAGGAATTCCAACAAAAGAATAATGATATCACTAATGTTGTAACAGATGAAGTACAGGATGCGCTATTGCTGGTAGTTCACAGTTTTGTTGATGATTAGATACTGGATTCATGGGGTTTCCTTCCATACATCATTCCACCTTGCGAAATTATGTTGCAGGTGACTTTGCGAATGTATATCAGGCTGATGGAAAAACTCTGAACATGCTGGAGATGGGAGACATTGATATTGCACTTTGTAATAAGAGCAAATGGACTTTACAAAAGATTATGCACATTCCTGAGTTGAAGAAAAACCTCATTTTTGTTGGGTAGATCAATCAAGGTGCTCATTCAGTAGTGCTCTCAGATAGCATCTGGACGGTTACCAAAGGAGCATTAGTACTGACTTGGGGTAAGAAAACTGACACACTATATATGATTACAGATTCACTCAACATTATTGGTACTACAGTTGGAGAGAGCACGATAGATTTGTGGCATTGGAGGCTTGGTCACATGAGTCAGATCTATGAAGAAATCTTGCAAGATAAAAATTCGAGCAAGTGGGAGTTGGTCATGAAGGAGGAGATGGATTTCATGCCAAAGAATCAGACATGGGAGCTGACAAAATTTCTACCAAGGAAAAAGGCATTGCACAACAGATGAGTGTACCGGGTGAAGACTGAGTGTGATGACAGTAAGAGGTACAAGATTGAACTTGTTGAAAAAGACCTTCAACAGAGGCAGGATATTGCCCATGCAGTGGGATTTGTAAGCAGATATATGAGTAACACAAGAAAGAGCTTCGAGGTAAAATGCTACGTCGACGTTGATATGTCAACTAACAGTGTCACTCTTAAAAATTTGAAGTTATGTGCAACTTCAGTTGGTCTTCCAACTTGAAGACGGGGGGCTTTGAGTTGAAAAGGTGGAGGATATCATGTTTGAGGAAAGAGGATGGCAGTGGGTGATGGAGTCAGTGTCCGAGTCTCCAAGTGGGATAATTGTTGAGGAAAGTGAAGATTTGGTCCACTACAGTTTTGGTAATAATTAAAGGTGTTAATTATGACATTAATTAGCCTTTCTTAATTATCCTCCCGCCAACACTTCTTTAGATTTCACGATT